ATCATGCACAGATGTATTAAAGGGCAGTTTCAAATACTAGTCATAACTTGAAAGCCAGAAAAGCAAAGCTCTAACTTTCAGTTATTGATCTGTGACAAAGCTGAATTTCACATGTATATTTTTGTGTAACCTGTTCTAGTGCAAATAGCAGCAAAACTGAACATCCAGGTCTGCCTGCTAGTATACAAATCACAAAATCTGATAGATTAATAAACAGACCAATGTGGCTTAGTATAATTAGAGGGGGTGTATAGTGTACTGGCTAACACACTGAAATCTCAGAACTGGGCTTAAATATTGACCCTGCCATTTAATAGCAGTGTGAGCTTGTGGAATTATTTAACGTCAGCTTATTTTCTTACCTATAAACTGGAGAGGATAATAGCAGTGCCATCTTATGAAGTTATAATAGTTGAACATAAGGGACTATGTTAATGGTTATGACTATCCCAATCTGAGAGAAATTTAGTGTTGACAGTCATAAACTCCATGTTAGAAGAAAGCAACCATCTATTTTCCTCTATCATGCTTATCAATTATTGTTTTAATAATGACATAGTGAAGTTTCTCTGAAATCAGGTTTGTAAGGTCATATTAGGCCAAGTAGTTCTAAAATTGGATTTTGAAAGTGTTATCTTAGAGATCCTCATCCCATGCTCAAATAGCTCAGTACAGCTGGATCTTTATGCCTCAATTCATACTCATTTGGCAAATAATATTGTCCTTATATGTTCAGAAACATATCTTTTTTTAGGCTAGATTTTCCAAACTGCTCAGTTTAAGGGTTTAAAGCTGCTTTAGCAAGGGTTTTCACCCATCCTCAAAATTTATAAAGCCTAGGCATTCATGTCCATTACTTAGTAAAAATAGGCTCATTGGTATGGCTTGTGTGATGTCTGCCAGATTATGTTTCTCTTTTCTACATTTACTAACTTGTTTTCCCCTCAAGTCCATTAACAGATTTGGGGGAAAATAACATAAGAATAGATTCTTAATATTTGCTCTTCCTCCCACAAATCAACTGGGAGACAAAAATCTTAATAAAACCTGTAGAAATAACAAGAAGACCAGAACTCTCAATTAAATTCTGAAACACATAATATTAGTGCAGCCATGTTAAATATTACTAACTTGAGAAAGTTATGTGATATTCTGACATATGAGGAAAATCATGGCAGAAAACCATTTAAACTTTCTAGTTTAAATAAATAAGGACTGGATGGAGAAAACAATGGTGAATTAAGCATCACTTGTAAAATAAATACTGCTTTTTAATTTTACAAGGACTGGGGAGAGGTGAAGGGTGAAGACAATGAAAGAGGCCAGGATGAGAAAAATCTTAGAACTAGGGGAATATTGCATTATATCTATTGCATTGACACCTCCCAATGTATATTTTTAAATAAAATACAAATTAGAAATGTCAGACTCATCAGAGTCTATACTTTTGCATTTACTAAGTTAAACAAAATGATTTAAAAAAATTGTAATCAGGTAAGTCTGACTCTTTGGCTGGAGCTAGATTATTTATCATCATCCTCATCATCATCATCATTTTATGCTGGTCCTGGAGCTTGAACTCTGGGCCTGGATGCTGTCCGTGAGCTCCCTTTCTTCAAGGCTAGCACCCTACACCTTGAGCTACAGCACCTCTTCTGGTTTTCTGTAATTAATTGGAGATAGTCTCATGGGCTTTCCTGCCCAGGCTGGTTTTGAACCACAGTTCTTAGATTTCAGCCTCCTGAGTAGCTAGGATTCCAAGTATAAGTCATTGGAGGATAATATTAAAAATCTGAATTTGAGACCCTTTGTGATCATGAGACACAGCTCACATGTTTCTCTTGCCCTTGCAACGCTGATCCCTGGGCTAGGTCCTTACAGCAATTTTTCTCCATTTGTTCCTATTTTGACACTGCAGATCAAAATACTTTAAAGCAAGCTGCCCTTTCTAAGAGGGCAAGGTTAGCCACACCCAAATAGCAGTGTCTCCTGATCACAGTTTCTCAACTGACTTGGTTTTAACCTGATGCAAGAGGCCCCTTTAGTGAACAAGTAAGGTATTTTAGTGTGTGTATCTGCCCCCTACTGACCACTCCACCCACACTAAATGGAGAAAGTATACATCATACCAGCATGTACCTGCAGTGGCAGACAAAGGAGCAAAGTGAAATTTCAGGTGGTGAAGTTCTCCTGGTGGTGAAATCCTCCTGCTCAGATTGTCTCGTCTTAGTTCCCTCTCTACCACCATATCGTGTGGAATTGCTTAGTCTGTAATATAAATTTCCACAACCCAGAAAATTAGAGGGTTATAACCCAGTAAGCAATGATATGAGGAGTCACTCTACTCTTACTGGTGGTAATGGAACAGTAAATCAGGATATATACCTTTTGATTCAATGCTGAATAAATGGTATGATAAATCATGTCCCAATAGTAGATGAAAATAAAATTAAATTAAGAGTATAAAAAGAACCTGCAATATGAGAAAAATCATAGCACATAAGAGATAGGAGGAAGAACATGTAAACCTAATTTAAAAGAGGCTAAAAAGTTATTTTAAATACCAAATGAACTAGAAAGCAGAAAAAAATAATAGACTTAATAAAGTCTTTGACCTTTTCAGGAAGAAAAACCAAACATATTAAAATTAAATATTTGGCAAAGCTAACTAAGGAAGAATGTTCTGTACCTTGAATGTGTAATGAAACTTATCTGCTAAACTGACTGAGCGAGGCCTCATACAATATCCATGTTCTTATGCCCACTGACTTATTGCTATTCCTCTAGCTTTAGTATTTATTTCTATAATTATCTAAATCTTTAAAGTTCTTCAACATATTGTGTAAGTATATTTGTAGGATGTTTCAAGTTTCTAGTACCATATAGGAGTGAAATAATAAATTACCACTGCCTAAGTTTTTGTTCTGAGAAACATGATAGGCCAAATATAAATAGGTATATATTTTTTAACCTTAATATTAAAAATATAATAACCAATATTTATTGTACAACATAACAAGGACTGGAATATACAGTGTTGATGAACTTGCCTCCTAGAGGATTTTTTTCATAACTCCATTTAGAACTGCTGCAGGAGTTATATTCTGGTTAAAATATTTAGCCCTGTTAGAAAATGTATTTAGCCTATGCAGTCAGTAACTATGTTGGAAATTTTGAAAAAGAGAACATATAATTTATCGTTATGTGATCAATTGCTTGCTACATAAAAAACTAAGGATTAACTGAGTATCTAAAACTAATGTTTTCATAAGAAAATAAATCTCCTATATTGCACAAACTAACCACAAAGGAGTTCCCATTAGTAGTATCAGTGTGCTTGCTACAAGTGTATATTACCTGGAAATATAGCTGTCACAAGTTATACAGGACTTAAATAAAAACCTCTTGATGGATATAAAAAGTTTTAAAAATAAAGCAACATGTTTCTGGAAAGCAATATAATTGTATAGGTCTTAACCACTATTTTAATTTAAAATGAGTGCACCAAATTTTCAACTGTTGGGAAAACTGCAGTGCTCATCTGATAAAAATAAACATGTCAGAACTGTCAGAAAATTTTATATATGTGTGGAAAAGACTCACCCTATATAACATGAAATCATATTTCTAACTCAATAACTACAGGCTGGATGGTATACCAGGGTTACAATGTTCAGTGGAACTAAAGAGATCTCAAACAAAAAACTATGAATTTGTATATTTCAAATGTGGGGGGAAGAGAAAAATATCAACTAAATTAGATAGCCTTTGGGGGAAAGTAAGTTAGAATACTTAAATCAAAATCAAAATGATTTCAGATATGGGAAAATTTTTCAAAGAAACAGTTTAAAGGTAACCTATATTCTCTTGGTGTAGTCTAACATACCTAAACTTGACTCTAGGGTCAGAAGGCAAAAAAAGGAAAAGATTTATCCATTTTTAATTTTTTTTATTTTTTTTAGTCATTTTTAATGCATTTTCCCTGTGCACAAGAGAAATAACTGATAAGGTCAAAAGATACACTTTCCTTTATACATAGCAGTTAAAGTAATGCAAACATCACATGACACTTCCAGTAAAAGTTACATTTCCAATTACAACTCAAAATGCATATTAGGGTCTCTTTATGGGAGAAGCTGAGAAGGAACTCTTAGGTAAAAAGCACTTTCCTGGCATTACTACACTGATCCTTCAGGGTGCACAAAGATTAAGTCATATACAGTCAATCTGCAAATGGTGACACAATGTTACACTGTTTAAGTTTTCTGTACAATTAATGTATACTTAAGAGATACCAGGATAAACATTTCTACTATATTTTAACTGAACTTGCCTAGCCAACATTTTCACTGAGAAATTTATCAAATATGCTGTAAGATTCTACAAAATTGTGACACATACCTAAATCCAGAAATAGTTCTCACGTTCTTTCTTATTTGGGTTACACATATTCTGCTCAGATTCTACAGTAATACTTCTAGATGTACAGTCCCAATTGTGCTTACTGTACTGTGTACAAATAATAGCAAAAACGACCAATGAATGGTATAAATCTTACAGCATTTTGCTAGCAAAAATACATGCCAAAGTCACAATAAGCAATATTGTACCACAAATTAGAGCTTCAAATAATTTGCTTCTGTTTTTAATATCTTCATTCTACATTAAATTACTATCATAGGCTAATGTTTAAAATGCAAATAAACTGGACATCTGTAGGACAAAACTTGTTCACCCAACTGTGAAGGCTGTTAACCTGTTTCCAAAAATCACAATAAATGCAGAATAAAGAGAAGTGTTTGCATGCAACACCTTTTGAGTGAAACAGCATTGATTCCCACCATTCAAGACAGAGAAGGAAGGAAACCAAACGAAGGAAAGAAGGAAGGAAGGAAACAAAGAGGGAGGGGAGAGGGCAGGCGGGAAGGGAGAGAGGGTGGGTGGGAGGGGCGAGGAGAAGGAGGGGCAGGAGGGGAAAAAAGAAGAGGAGAGGGAAGGATGGGGGAGGGAGAGAGGCGGGAGGGAAGGAGGGGAGAGGAAAGGGAAGGAGGGAAAAAGCTAGTGAAGGACTCCACCTTAAAATGCATCATATTAGATTTATAACTAGACAGATTTAAAAGAATCATAATGAAAGTAAAGCAAGATGTGTGTGTGTGTATGTATGTTTAAAGATTTAAGAGCCATTATCAAAAATAAGATACATTTTTTTCAAGGTACAGAAATGTAATTACGATGGCTGGGAGCCCAGCAGCCTCTCAATGGCTGCATTGATGTCGCCTCCTGTTGCTATTAGGGCCTGCAAGTTTGCTTCACGGTTTAAGAACCCCATGGCGTTGAGCTGTTCCAGTTGCTGCTGAAATCTGACTTCTGGATTCGGCAGCTGTGGAGGATTTGCTCCAGCCAAAGCCTGCACCATTTGCTGAATGAACTGCTGGTTGGGTCCAGATTCCGATGTTGGAGTCGTGGTCTCACTGGGTGCAGAGCTGGTCACAGTGGGCGCAGTGGGGCCACCAGAGCCGGTGGTGCCAGGAGAGCTTGCAGGAGGGCCAGTAGGTCCTATGGGCCCAATAGGGCCTATGGGGGTAAAAGGAACTATAGGGCCAATGGGGCCTATGGGAGTGACTGGGCCCACAGGGCCAATGGCCGTTCCCAGCACCCCCACCCCCACACCTGGAGTGAAGCTTGGAATGAGGCCAGGTGCTTCAGTGGCTAATGTCTGTAGCCCCTGCTGGATCTGCATTAAAGCCTGCATTGCTCTCGGGTTTGACATGGCTGCCAGTGTGTCTGGATTCTGCATCTGCTGCAGGAAAGCTGGGAGCTGAGGACGCATCTGCTCCTGCAGCTGAGGATTGGCCGTAAACAGTGGGCTACTCAGCATCATCTGTGCAGCCAGATCTGGATTCTGGCTCAGCGACTGCATCATGCTTCGCATGTAGGGTGCCGACAGCATATTCTGAATCAGTTGAGGGTTTTCAGTTATCTGTTGCAGCAGGCTCTGCATTCCTGGGGTACTGAAGATGCTAGCAACATAATTAGCTGCAGCCACAGTGTTCCCGGTAGTATTGCTGGAGCTGCTGCCAGATCCACTGCCACTGCTTGTAGTGGTGCTGGTGGTCGTAGAACTCTGAGTAGCCGGCGGTGGCGCCCAAGGGTTGGGCAGTGGATCCCGATTTTCTGTGCGGGAAGGCTGAGTACCTTCCCCAGAGGAGGAACTGCTCCCCACTGAGGCAAAGGGGTTACCCCCAAACTGCTCTTGTGCGGCATTCAGCATCGGTTCTTGAATGTCAGTGTACATGCGCCGTAGAGCATTGTAGCCACCTGGGATGCTTTCGAGATTGCTGAGAGCCAGATCTTGATTTCTCATCATCTCTTGCATCATGGCTGGATTCCTGGCGATTTCGAGAGTCTGCCTCATTATATCTGGGTTGTTGAGCAGATGACTGATTTCTGGGTTTCTCTGAATCAATTGTTGCATCTGTGGATTGGCCATAATGAGCTGCCTCATCAGATCAGGATTCGAAAGCATGCTCTGAACAAAGGGATTTTCCATGATTTGGATCATCATCTCAGGGCTGGCCATGAGCTGCTGCTGCATCTGGTTCTGAAGCTCAGAGAAGTTGGTGGTGCTCAAACCCAGACTGCTAAGGCCTGCAAGTCCTCCCAGGCTCCCCAACCCAAACGGGTTGCTATTTGTGGTAGTAGGTGTGGTGTTACTTCTGGGAGTCGATGCCGTGGTGGTAGTAGTAGTTGCCGCGGCACTGCTAGGCTGCGTGGTGGATTGGCCTTGCTGAGGTCGGTTCTGGCTTTTGATGACAAGGTGAACGGTCAGTCCATCATGGATGCCATGCTGGCTCAAGGTATCTTGATCTTTTAAGATTTTTCCGGCAAAAATCAGCACAAGCTGATCGGTTTGGGATTTGAAGCGTTTCGAAATCGCTTCCTTAAACTGCTGAACCGAGCTATTCTCGGGCACCGCGAACTCCTCTTTCTCTTTGGGAGTCTTCACAGTGACTTTGATGATTTTGGGCTCGGCCGGAGTAGCAGCTGCCGAGCCTGGGGCCGGAGCTGGGCCGCGGGAGGGGCGCGGGGGACCGCTGCTCTCGCCGTTCTCAGCCATGGCGGCCGCGGTGACGCAGGCGGGCAGGGAAGGCGCTGGCGAGCGAGCGAGAGAGCGAGGGAAAGAGGAAGGAAAGAGGCGCCGCTGCAGCGGGGCTGGGTCTGGCCGGGCGAGCAGCGCGGAGCACGGTACCTCAGTGATGGAGACTGCGGTTCCCCCGGTCCTTGGATGGAGACTGGGCTTCGGCGTAGGCCGCGGTTGAAGTCTCGGAGCTCAGGTCTCTGGGCCTTCTCCTCCGCCGCCTTGTGATCTGACCGCGCGCACTCCCAGCAACTCCTGCAGCCGCTCCGCCTGCTCCTCCCCGCCCCGGCCCCTCCCCCAGCTCCGTGCCCGCCTCCCCGCCCCACTTTGCTGACGCGGCGCCAGGCCCTGATGGATAGATTTGACTCGGTGGAAATTAAAAACTTCTGCACTGACTGAAAGGGGAAGGAAAAAAAAAAGAGGGGGAGAGAGAAACAAACAAAGACAGAGAAGGGAATGGACACGACACTAGATGATCAGTGAATAGGGGAGAGGCAAGGCAGGAGGGAGGGGGGGAAGGGAAGGAACAGGGAATGGAGGGAGGAGGGAGGGAGATTGAGAACGGGGACCGGGAACCAGTTTTTTTTTTTTAAAAAGGCATTGAAAAACCAATGGAGAATGTACATACATACATACATACATACATACATACACACGTAGATGTGTATATGTATATATACATATATATATATATATATGCAATCTGTAAGGCAGGGAAAGGATGAAAACCTGGATTGAACGGATCCCATGTAAAAGACGAAAATTGAATAGTAAAGAGCTCTGACAAAGCAAAAAGGGACGTGGAACACCCCCAAGGGGGGGAAGGGAAGAAGACAGGGCAGGAGCCGTGCATTTTACAAAAGAAGTGCAAATGGCCAATAGGCATATAAAAGGGCGTTTAAACTCACTAGCAATCAAAGAAAATCCCATTAAAACAATGAGATTTTTACTTTCGGTTTATCACACTAGCAAAGATGAAAAATAATGATAAAGATTGTTGACCGAGAGCCCAGAAAATGCACTCTCATGCTAGTTGAAAGTGTAAATCGTTTTCATCACAGGGTAGTTGGAAAATACAAGTGGACATTTTCAATAATTCTGCCTTTATTTAGAAATACCTCATCTACAGACCTCCTCTAAGAAAACGATCGGATGAGGATGTAAAAATACGTATGTATAAAATGCATTTACACTGTAGCATTTAAGAAATAATAAATATTTTTAAATGTGTTTACGTGGAGTGAGTCAAGCATACTATGATTTTACTACACAATAAAATAGTATGCAACGTGTTTTAAAGATGGATGGTTAATTCATGTGATCTAAAATATCTTTAAAGGTGTTCATAAAATACACTGCACTGACAGGAAAATCGTGGAGTGTTTTCAATGTTGGCTTCATATATTTCTACACAATTAAGAACAATATAGGCATAAAAATTCAGTATAAAAATCAATTAATTATATTTTAAAGCTGATTTTAAACAACTTGTATGTGTATGTGCAAAATATATATGGAAGGTTGTAAATTAGTGTAATGATAGTGATTTGTGAATTTTGAATTATGAATAATTCCTATTTTCTATTATAAGATTTTGAATGTTTTTTTAATTACCAATCACTGCAGTTATAATTTAAAAAATAGATATTTCAGGTGGAAAATACAGGTACAAATTGACAGGCACACAATAGTGGTGGTAGACATTTAAAAACCTGATTCATTACGCTTTAAGTGAGATAAATAAAAATGTAGAAGCATTGATGAAGAAAGGATGAATAATAGAAATAATTTCAAACATATATATATTTCAAATTCTGATTTAAGCCGCAGTGAAAATCTTTTTTCCCAATTTACTATTTACTAACATTTTAAAGTCATTAGGTCACAAAGATCTCAATAAATCTGGAGATAAGGAACAAATATAGTTATGTGATATCAATCAATATTATAGTAATTATAGTATATTATAGTATAGTAATATGACAGTATATGTAGTATAGTTAATGCAGATAATATAATTCAGAGTTAAATTAATAACTTTAAGCAAATTATGTATAGATCTCCAAAACCTAATTAATTACCACATACCTAGCATCACTCTATGGTGTCTATACATGCAGTCAAGTGAATAAGAAATATTCTTTTTCTTTTCTTTTCTTTATTTTTTGTCGGTCATGGGCCATGAACTCTGGGCTTGGGCACTGTCCCTCAGCTCTTAAGCTCAAGGCTAGCACTCTACTACTTGAGCCACAGCACCACTTCTGGCTTTTTCTGCTTTTGTGGTGCTGAGGAATGGAACCCAGAGTCTTATGCATGCAAGAGAAGCACTCTGCCACTGAGCCACCTTCTCAGCCCAGAATAAGAAATACTACTTAATTTATTTATTTTTATTTTTTATTTTTTGGTGGGGTTCGGTCATGGGGCCTGAACTCTGGGCCTGGGCTCTGCCCCTCAGCTCTTCAGCTCCAAGGCTAGCGCTCTACCACTTGAGCCACAGCGCCACTTCTGGCTTTTTTCTTTTTTCTTATGTGGTGCTGAGGAATTGAACCCAGGGCCTCATGCATACAAGGCAAGCACTCTACCACTGAGCCACCTTACCAGCCCCAAGAAATGTAGAAGACTTATGGATATGTAGCTCAATGGAGGAACACTTGAGTAGCATTTGTGAAGCCCTATGTTCAATTCCCACCATGGCTAAAGAATGAAAACAAAAAGAAGTAAACTATAAGGAGTCATATACCAAACTTAAACCAATAAAGGAGAGGAAATGGAATAGGATTCAGAGAACTTAAATCTGTAAAAATGTATTTTATCTTTAAAATGGAAGCAAATATGACCAAATATCAACAATAGTTAATCCTAGGTTATAAGAATTCATATGTTTTATGATATAGTATTTTAAATTTTCTCAAAATAAAATGAGACATTGAGAAAATGTCACAGGCCATCTTTCATTTCAAATGAATAAAGGTAGATATTAATAATGAAGGCATGAGGGGGAAAAACAACCACTTGAAAATTAACATAAAATAGCACTTTTGTGTGTGTGTTGATTCTGGGGCTTGAACTCAGAGCCAGGGCACTGTCTCTGAGCTGTTTTTTGCTGATGCCTAGGATTCTACCATTTGACCCATAGTCCCACTTCAGGCTTTTGGTGGTTAAACTGAAGATAAGAGTCTCATAAAAAAAAAAAAAGAGAGTCTCATGGACAGATTTTCCTGCCCATGGTGGCTTGGAACCTGATCTTCAAATCTCAGTCTCCTGAGTAGTTAGGATTACAACTACTGGCACCCTGCAAAACTGAGCATTTTTGAGACAAAATATAAATCAAACTTCTTATTGTATGAATTTATAAAAATGAATGAAAATGTATATTTCAACAATTACATATGTACCTCAATTATTACCATTCTCTTGTTAGGAACTGGCTAAGAATACAGATTTCAACTGTGGGTAATAGCTGTTTAGGCCTATAATCTCACCTACTTGGGAAACGATACAAAGGATTATAGGCCTTGGCTCAGTTGTAGAGATGTTTTGCAGGAGTTCCTGGGTTCAATTCTTAGTACAACAGAATTTTTGTTAATGAAAGAATGAAGATATCTAGACTTTATTCCAAACAAATTGAAGTGCTGTGAAAGAACCTATATTCTTATCAAGCTCCAGTTTAATAGTATTTGATTTACTGTGGAATATATGGATAAAGTCAGACTCAAATTTGTTCATTTAAACAATAGTGAATATAAGTGAATTAAGCATTCAAATGAGAAAGAAAACAAAAAATAAATTAAGAGAGAAATGAAATGTCAGATACAAAATAATAAAGGTAAACATTAATGAGCATACAATAAAACATAATATAAATAAACCTAAGAACTTTTAAGAAAACAAGCTGGGCGCTGGTGGCTCACGCCTATACTCCTAGCTACTCAGAGGTCTGAGATCTGAGGATCACTGTTTAATGCCAGCTCAGGCAGCAAAGTCCATAAGACTCTGATCTCCAATTAAACACCAGAAAACTGGAAGTGGCGCTATGGCTCAAGTAGTAGAGCACTAGCCTTGAGCAAAAGAGCTCAGGGACAGAACCCAGGCCCAGAGGTAAAGCCTCACGATCACCCACACACACACCAAAATAAAAGAAAAAAACAAATAGATACCCATTATTATTTCAGTGACTCTTAGCTTACAATTTCTTCACCAATGTACACAATGGAAAAACAAAAACACACTCCCTCTTCCCCTTTCCCCCTTCCCGGAGTCTTCGATAAGCACAGGTCTTTGTGTTCATTTATTTCATAGATTATGTGACTTGATTTTTTTCCCATTATTCCAATCTGTAATGCAAAAGTAAATTACAATCAAATCAATGTTGCAATGTTTTAAGTTAGAACTCTTTATTAGTGAGAAACACAGCATTAATTATTCAAAATTTAAAGAGTGAGCAACAGACAAATACAGAAAAACTAGTATTGTGTGACCATATGAAGGACATATGTTTGAAAATTATAAGGGAATACTTTGTAACAATCTTGGCTAATAAAATACAGAGTTAAAATGAACTAGCAAAGAAAAACTATGACTGTATTACTTTTCTAGGAAGATATTTATGGCCAAAATTTATTTAGAAACAGTAGAAAAACCTTAACAGCAAATAAGAGACATGAGGGAAATGAACACAAAATTAAATATTTCCAAAAATCAGCTGTATTGTTCCAGATGGCAGCTAAGCCTGTTCTTACCTTCTCTCTTACCAAATCTTGTCAAAACAATAGATGTGGTATCAGAAAAATAGAAGCACATAAGAGTTTGGGACACTATGAAAGAATGCCATCTATGAATCTATATGTTAAATATCAAAATAAACTATAGATTAGAATTTAAATCAGGAAATTTACAGAAAAATATCAGAACACATTTTTATATAATTTCACCATTATAACAAACTTTCTAAAACAAAGAAGAAAAACTATAAATGGAAAGACATAAATCCACATTTTATAAATTGTTGCAAAAACAGAACACTCCACGGGGAAAGTAGGTACCATTAACCAGTATCTTACAAAAAGTATCTTACAGTGAAATTTAGAAGAAAAGGAATAGGAAAAAAAGTTTTCTTTTCTTGAACTTAAAAAACAACTGAGGTGGGGCTGGGAAGGTGGCTCAGTGGTAGAGTGCTTCCCTTGCATGCATGAGACCCTGGGTTCGATTCCTCAGCACCACATAAACAAAAAG